ACTTTCAGTAGTCTCTGCCAGCACCACAATTCAGGGGTATCAATTCTTCTTGAGTCATCTTTATTAGACATTCAGTTTCCCATGCACATGAGGTGGTTGAAAACACCATGGCTGTGGTCAGGTACACTTTAGTCCTCTCATGGTAACATCCTTGCTTTTCAACACTTTAAAGTGTTGCAACCTACTAAGGTCTTGCACAGATTTATCCTAATGTAATGGGATGTCTGCTCTCTTCCCTGCTGCTTCCATGAACATTGATTGTGAATCCAAATAAGAAGAGACCTTAGTGGAAGCATTATCATTTTTTTCTGATAATAAGTAACCTCCATGCGACCTTAGGTAATTCTAACAATAATTATAGACTACTAATGGTAGAGAATTTAAAATACTATTGTGTTAAGGGAGATACTCAAATATAGGAAAGCTTTTTAGACTTAAATAAATGGGTTGTTTACTTATACATATTAAATAATTAATTAATTAGATAAGTGTATGAATCCTGTTCGAGAAAATAATCAGAGTTAAATAGAAGGCACAGAATTCCATGCTATTTGCTCACTGTGACGAAATGTGTCTGAAGAACTAAGGCATGTCTGCTTAAAAGTCTACTTTATCAGTAATTAATATTACCCTCTGATCTGTCTTGGAAGAAGTACAGCTCCTTAGAGGCAGGGATGGTGAGACCTCTTCTGACACACTTTGAACATATTGTCAAGAGAGAACATCATGCTGTGTACAGTGGAGGGACAGTGACAAAGAGGAAGTCTCTCAGTGATGGTCTGATCCAACGGCTGTAACAACGTGCTCAAGCGTGGGAATCATCGGGAGGATGGCTCTGGACCAGACGGTGTTCAGTCCGTGTGCGCAGTGTCGCTATGGGTTGGAACTGACTCAGGGACAGCATCAACAATATTGTTCTTCTGCTCGGTTTTTGTTTTGTTTAATATGTTTTTCCAAACTCTAATTTTAGCTTATTTTTGTCTTTTGTCTAAAATATGCTTCTTGTGCAGTGTTTTAATGCATTGTTTTCTTATTCATTCTGCTATTCTCACTCATGACTAATGCATTTCGTTCATTTATATTCAGAGTAATTATCAATAGGTGTATGTTATTAGCTGATTTCTCCAGAAAAGCAAAACCAGGACACTTATGATTATATCTATAAAAGGATAGGTTTATATGGTCAGAATGAATACAACAGCTAATTAGTCCACAGACAGGGCTCAGTCCACCTCACTCTCGTGGGACAGATAATGTACTGAAGGTCCTTCCAAATCATGCTGGCCACTAGTGCAGGGTCAAGGGAGCAACTAGCCAAGTGACTGGCCGGAGGCAGAGTCTTCCCCCAGGCAAGAGAACAGCAGGAAGAGGAGCTGTCCAGGCCTAGCAGAGGCCAGTAGGGCAGCAGCATAGCAAAGCTGGTCGCAATGGAGCCTCAAGGTGCTACATGCATGCCACAGCTACACAATCTGCCATGCTCGATGGGTGGGCTCGGATCACAAGTAACACAGAGCAGCTCCGGTGGCAGCACACTGTTCTGATCACCAGGGAGAAGGGGGAAGAGGCCAGCCTAGAATGATTTATCTCACTTGCCCTCCAATCAAGCTGCGACCTGATTGACAGGCTAAACTCGGCCCATGTGTTCCTACAGGAGCCGTGTTGGCACAAAGAACTGAACTATCACAGTGTACATTTATTTTTGTCATTTTTATTTATTTTGGGTGATCCTGGTTTCTTGGTTTCAATATATTTTTCTGTGCTAAGTTCACTTAGTTATGAATTCACAACTTTCTGCTTTCCAGTCCTGTTTTAAATGTTTACTGAGCCTTTCAAAATTTCTTTCTGTCTTTATCCATTCTGGCTGATGGACTCCTGGCTGATAAACATATGTGGGGTTAATTGAAGGGTGGAGATATAAATGGCTCAGTGAACCTCGCCTTTCGAGTTCTCAGGTCTGTTGCTTTGTGATGGTCAGACCAGGGTGCAGCTGCCTTACCCAGTTCCCTGTTTCAGCTGGCAAGGCTCACTTCTTGCAAGAGATCCCTGAGGAGAAGACGCATGGACCTACCCTCAGAGAGTCCTGGGTGCTGGAGCAGCCACGTGGAGACCCCTACCAGCGCTGAAATGTCTACACTTTCACTAATTTGGCTTTCCTCCTGCAGTCGGTGTCATTGTGTGTATTTTGTGAAATGGAGGAGGACTTTGTGGATTGGTGTCAGACATATCGGCTAATGGATTAATGTTGGACTTGTGGGCTTGGGCAGCACTGGGTTGGGATGTTTTCTTGATGTATACTTACCCTTTATATAAAACTCTCTCTTATACATGAGTTTCTGTAGATTTGTTTCTCTAATGTACCCAGACAAACACACTCCCATTAGTATTTCACAGAGGGTTGGAATGGTTTCTCAAATTCTCTACTTCACCATTGTATTTGAGGGACAACTTTTCTGGATACATAATTTTTGGTTGGCAAGTTTTAATTGTTTATATTTCTTTTTATCTTTTCTGTCTTTTTAATGACCTTTTGTTTTCTTTATATAGGGTCTTCTCAATATTATTCCATGGTATTGAAGGAAGATATTTAAGCTGCACTGAAGACATTGGCCAAAAACAAGTCTTCAGGAATTGATGGAATACCAATTGATATGTTTCAACAAGCTGATGAAGCACTGGAGGCATTCAGTAGTCTATGTCGGGAAATTTGGAAGACAGCTACTTGGCCAACAGACTGGAAATGATCCATATGTGTACCTAGTCCAAAGAAAAGTGACCCAATAGAATTTGAAACTTGTAAAATAATAGCATATACAAGTAAAATTTTGCTGAAGATTATCCAACAGAAGTCCAGGCCAGATTCAGAATAGGACATGGAACACACAAAATATTTCTTTTGTTGGATGGGAATTGGCTGAAAGCACAGTTTATCAGAAAGATTATTATTTGTGCTTTAGTAACTATGCAAGGATATTCAACAGTGTGGATCATAATACACTAAGGAAAGGACAGTCCTGAAAAGAAATGGAATTCCAGAATACTTAATTGTGCTCATATGTAACCTCTACACAGATCACAAGGCAGATGTGGGACCAGGTAAAGGGAATATTACGTGGTTTAAAATCAATAAAGGTGTGGATCAGGGTTATATATGAGTGGTTACCTCCCCCAAACCAGAAAAACAGCATGCCTCTCTGGCCCCACATACCTTACTGCACCTGACCTCACTCTGTGTAACTATTTTTGTTTCTGAAAATGAAGGACATAAAAAGAGAACAATTTGAAGACATAGAAGAGATGAAGACAAAAACCGAGGGAGGTGCTGTCAGCCATCCAAGCAGAGAGTTTGAAAAATATTTCCAAGAATGGAATTACAGATCTGACAGATTTATTAAGTGTAATGGAGAGTACTTTGATTTATTAAGTGTAATGGAGAGTACTTTGAAGGTGATATGTTGTTTTGTTTAAAAATATTAAATACATAGCTTTGGGGGGAAAATCCATTTTTTGGGCGGGAGGGGGTCCCTTTCTACTCACCATATTTGTTCAATGTGAATGCTGAGCAAATAATCCAAGAAGGTGGGTTCTACAAGGAAGAACTTGGCATCAGGTTTACAGAAAGGCTTATTAACAATATCTGACGTGCATGAACACAACCCTGCTTGCTGTAAATGAGGCAGACTTGAAGCCCTTGCGGATGAAATAGAAGATTAAAGCCTTTAGTATGTACTAAAACTCAATGTCAAAAAACAAAGGTCCTCATAACTGGAATAATAGGTAATCTTGTGATAATGGGGAAATGATTGATGTTGTAAGGGTTTTGTCTTCCATGGGGCCACAATCAACACCCATGGGAGCAGCAGTCAAGAGATTGAAGTATGCATTGCGTTGGGCACATCTGCTGCACAAGATTGAACATGTTAGCAAGGTGCCCCTGACTGAAGCTGCAGGCTTTTAAGGCCCTTCTTGTGTATGTGGAAGTTGGACTTTGAATAGAGATGACTGGGGAAGAATCAGCAGCTGATCCTGAGCTGGTGAAGCGTATGGAATGCACCATGGACTGCCCGAAGACAAGCAACCTGTCTTAGCAGAAGTAAAACCAGAGTGCTCCTTAGAGGCAAGAATAGCAAGACTCGGTCTCAAGTACCTTGGACCTGTTATCAGGAGAGACCAGTATGGGAGAAGGAGATCAGGCCTGATAAAGAGGAGGGTGGCCAAAAGGAAGAAGAATCGCCACAGTGGGTTCAAACATAAGAACAATTGTGTAGCTGGCACAGGACTGTGTGTGCAGTGTTGCGTGCTGTTGTACACAGAGCCACTATGGGCTGCGAATCACTCAACAGCACCTAAAACAACACAATACTAGTTCCTTGCACTCTTGAGATATCGTTTTGTTCAATATATTTGAACAATAGGATGGGTGTGATACTCGGGTCCCTTGTCATTGCCGTATCTCTGTTCAGTTTGGTAGTGCTTGAAGATGTGGGCTTATGTCTTTAATTGTTAGTAATGTAAAGCTGTGAGATTGAAATGTAAATAAATAATGAAAGAAAAAATTTTGAGCAAGGATGGATTTCCCTTAAGTGAAATATTCATGAGAATAATTACACCATCACTTAACATACTAACATTTTTCATACGTATTCTCTCAGGTAAATATTATATACCCTTAATTATTAAAACTATAAGGGAGAAGAAAATAGAACCACCATCTGTTAGCAATAGAAATTTTATTTTTATATAAAATACACATTTTATTTAAACATACTCATTCACAAATTAAGTTTACATTAATTTCACTCCATATACAGTTATTTAATATTTAAATGATCTTACCTGATATTCTTTAGATGAATCTGCTACCTCTAGGAAAGATCATATTCATAGTAAGAAATTTTCAATTATCCTACACAGAATAACTGTTCACCTTCAATTAGCCAGAACAATGATACGCAATTTATAAGGACGTGCATATGAAGACTAGTCAGATGATAGTTGCTTACCCCATTTCCTTGGCATTTTGTAGTGGCATTACAGTTGTGCTCTATTAAATTGACTTCTTTGCAGGTTTTATTTAAGCAGTACTAAAACGAACAAAATATAACAGTTTCTCATAAGCATTCAAAATTTGAAATAAAATGGGAAACAATTACCACAAGTAAGTAGAGTTAAGTAAATTTATTTTTTCACAGTTTTGACAAGATGTCCAAATTCAGTGTGGGTCAAAGAGGAGGTCCTTCCTTATGAGGAGTCCTGAGAATTCTACAATGCCCATTGGCTTTCCTTCTTCATTTTGCTTACCACTTGTCTTTCCTGTGTGTATCTCTCTATCTCTACTTCTGTTTTTATACATAAGAACTGATTAGGCTTAAGACCCATCCTATTCTACATGATGTATTTAACACAGCAAAGGAAAAAAATAAGTTATAAACAAGATCACATCTCCAATTTTGGGAGTGAGACATTTAATTGGTGTACATAATTGATACATAACATGTCACCCTTTTGATCCCCAAAATTAGTGCCTTTCTTATATGGAAATTAATTTGCCCTATCACGATCAGGTTAATTATCCCCAAATTTTAAAAATATTGAAAAGGAGCATAATTTGCATCCTTTAAGGAAAACAAAACCACCCTTTTGATATGACCTAAAGCAAAGAGAGTAAAATTCTTCAGCAAAAGGTTAGAGATGAAAAAACTATCAGAAGTATATAGATCCCCATAGAGGATACGGCAAGAAACAATACTCTCACATTTTGATATGCCTGTTTAATAAACTTTCTACAACTTTGTACCAAATCTTTTGTTTGTTTGTTTTGTTTTTTTAATCATTTTATTGGGGGCTCATACAATTCTTATCACTATCCATACATACATCCATTGTGTCAAGCACTTCTGTACACATGTTGCCATCATCATTCTCAAAACATTTTCTTTCTACTTGAGCTCTTGATATAAGCTCCTCATTTCCCCCTCCCCCCTCCCTCATGAACCCTTGATAATGCATAAATTATTATTTTGTCATATCTTGCCCTGTCCGACGTCTCCCCTCACCCACTTTTCTGCTGTCCATCCCCTAGGAAGAAGGTTATATGTAGATTCTTGTAATCTGTTCCCCCCTGTACCAAATCTTTCAATGGGACTTTCTACCCCCATTGAGAATTATAGTCTGGGAAGCCCGCAGAGGCAACTCCACGCTGTCCTATAGAGTCACTCTGAATCAGAATCAACTCAATGGCAGGGAGTTTGGTATTGGGTTTTTGGGTTGCCTTGACTTTACAAAATGGAATGGCCTTTTTCAGGGACCTGATGTTACTGATAATGTGTCCAAATATGGGAGACCAAGTCTCTTCCCCTCACTTCTAGGGCTCATTCCGGCTGCAATTCCTTCAAGGCAGGTTTGTTAGTTCTCTGACCAATCCATCATATTGCCTATATTCCTTACCAAGGCCAGAATGGATATGCACCACTTCTCAAGTCTTCCTTATTAATAGTCCAGCTTCTACATTTTTATGAAGTGACAGAAAATACCATGGCTAATTCCATGCTAATTTATCCCTCAAAATGACACCTTTGCTCTTCAAAACTTTTTTTCCCTAGTGTAATATATCATTTGATTTCCTGACTGCTGCTTCCATTAGCATTGATTGTGGATGGAAGTAAAATGAGATCTTGTACAACTTTAGTTTTTTCCCCATTTACCATGATGGTTTTCATTGGTCCAGTTGTTCAAATTTTTTTTGAAGACTATATATTTTTTTAATCTGCATCGCTATATATCACTATATCCAGTCCTCTTCCCTTTCACCAAGCAAGACTGTGTCATATTGCAAGTTGTTAATTAGCTGTGTTTTTTTTCATATAGTCTAGCTTTGAAAGTTATTCACTTATCATACATATTGGATTAACCAAAATAAAACTCACTGATAATTGAACCTATGCCCACTTAAAGCAACTCTGTAGGACAGGTTGGAATTGCCCCTGTTAGTCCTAGATTACAGTTCTTTACTGGAGTAGAAAAGCTGGTAGTTTTGAACTGACGACTTTTAAATTAGCGGTTTAATGTGTAACCACTACTCTGCTAGGGTTCCTGGTTATATATTGAATACATATGGTGAACTGATGCAACCCTGACGCACACCTGTCCTGATTTTAAACAGTGTAGCATTTTCTTGTTCTGTACAAATGACTGCCTTGTGGTTTATGTACAGATTCTCCATGAGCACAATCAAGTGTCTAGAAACCTGATTCTTATAGTTTATGGTCCAGCGTTGCCTCTGCCTAATCAATAAATCACAAGTAAACATCTTTCTGATAGTCTCTGATTTTAGCCAAGGTCTGTTTGTGTCAGCAATTGTATCCCTCATTCCTTAATCTCTTCTGAATCATCCATGAAATTTCTGGAAGGTTCCTGTAAATATACTATTGCAAATGTTTTGAAATTTATTTTCAACAACCTTATACTTCCACATAATATTTATCATATTGTTTGATAATTTACAAATTACTATGTTAAATCTCCTTTCTTTGGAATGGGTACACACATGGATCTCTTTCAGTCAACTGGAAAGGTTACTGTCTTCCAAATTTTTTGGCCTAGACTAGTGAGTGTTCCTACCACTGCATCACTTTGTCGAATCATTTCCGTTGGTATTCCATCAATTCCTGTAGACTTGCTTCTTGCCTTCTCTGCAGCTTTGGCTTATTCCTTCAACTATATTCTTGATATGGTTGAATGTTCCTGAATTCTGGTGGACTTCCTTCCATCAGCTTTCGATGTCTCTTGCATCAGTCATTTTTTTGCCTATAGAATTTTCCAACATTCCAAATTTAACCATGAATATTTCTTCAGGTCTCTCATTTTGATAACTGCTGGGCATGTTTTCCTTTCGAATCTTTGTTCTTCTTTTGCTTTTCATGAAATATGTATTTGCAGTTGAGCAGTTCTATCAACCACATTTTCGCCAGTATAATTTTGGAGGTCTAAAAGACTCTAGGATCTTCCAAATATTCAGGTAAAATTCAGAAGCGTACTGGAACAATAAGTATTATTGTTGATATCATAGATCCTAGTTGAAAGCAGGGAATGCTAGAAAGATATTTATCAGTTTTATTGACTCTGCAAAGGCATTAGACTGTGTGAGTTGTAACACATTATGGATCATCTTGTGAAGAATAACAATGCTATAAAAGTTAAATCTGCTTCTACAGAATCTGCACGTAGACCAAGAGGTAGCTGTTCACAAAGGAAAAGGGGATACTGCATGTTTTGAAATAAGGAAAGGTACAGATGAGGGTTATGAACTTAGGCCAAACCTATCCAACATGCATGCTGACAAACATCCCAAGAAGATAACATCTGAAGAACACGGCATCATAATTAAAGGAAGACTCGTTAACAGCTTGCTATACACTGATGACATAACCTTACATGATGAAGGCAAAGATGACTTGAGGTACTTGGTAAAGATAAGAACAGCAACCTTAAGTGTGTATTACACTTCCAAGAAAAGATAACCAGAAATTCCACAGGTGTACCCATCAGCAACACTGTAACAAAGTGTGGAAAATACTGAAGTTGTGGAGGACCTCATTTTACTTTGGCCCACAATCAACGGCCATAAAAATAGCAGTCAGCAAATCCAACGATTGATGAACGAGAAGGCAATATCCTCCAAGAGGGATCTGGGCACACCTAAACAGACAGACACACACACACACACACACACACACACACAAAATAGATGTGCAATGTGGAGACAGGGCAAACCATTGATTGGGAAGTTTGATTTGATAAATTATCTAAGTTGTAGAATGAAAAAAAATGAGTATCTGATATGACAACCCCATATCCAATGCTGTATTGTATTGGGCAAATCTGTAGCAAAAGACACCTTAAAAGTGTTAAAACAGCAAAGATGACACTTTCCAGACTAAAGTACATATGACCTGCTTGATACACCTTCATGCAATTCACAATAAAAAGTTAAAAAATAAAAAGATATACATGTCTTCAACATTAGTATTGGTGACAGGTAAAATAATGTTCTTAGATATGTGAAATTTAGTTTACTTATCTTTTCAATATTATGTGGGGGATAAGTTATAGTACCAAGTTCAAATTAATGCAATATGATTTGATAGTCATTATGGGTTATAATATTTTATCATAAAAATAAATACAACTAAAGATGAAATGACATGTTTTATTACCATTCCTTCACCACAGACTGTTCCATCAGCTACATAGGCATAATCCCTTCCATCTGAGTTCACTGAGGACCCAGGAGGTATGGATATGCAGACATGATCTTGAACGTATGAATAAACTGTAGATTGAATATCACTTTTGTAAGTATGCTCATGGGGCCAAACACAAGCTAATTTTCTACAGAGAGCATCGCTAAGGAGAAAAGCAGAAATATTTTACCATTTAATATTTTAATGCTACTAGATGTCATGTGGATAATAAAATCAATCTTGTCAGTTGATGCTAAGTTATAAAGAAAACCAAAAACACATATTACTGGGCACAAATAAATGCAATCCATTAAGTAGCAGTGTAGCACAATTGAAATATATATAAATATACAAATTTAACTTAATTTCCTTTTACAAAAGGCAATTTTTTTGTCTAGCTTCTATTTGTTTAAGCCCTCATCAGAATTTAGCACACTTTGGGGGGGATGCCTTATTGTCTCCTACGTTGAGATAGCTTGTTGAGCATGAATAGTTACTCATTTTATATTAATTGAACTCCTTTTTATGCACATGGTACATTGCTGCACTGTACCAAATTTATTTTGATCCTAAGTTTGCCCCAATAGACTTACATACCCAATCCTCTCTTGAAAATATAGGAACTATGATATGCTCTCTATGCTACAACAGTACAAAGGAGTTACCATATTAGACACCTTATTCAGCTACTTAAAATGTAAGATTTAACAATATCTCAGGTAGGTCAAGGGAAATTATATTCATCACATCTAGCACTTGAAATAAATAAAATCAATAGCATCTCATTCTCAAAGGACCAAACCAAACCAAGCTACACTCAGTGCCATTGAGTCAATGCTGACTCAGATAAACCCTACGCAACAGGATGGAATTGCCCCTGTGGGTTTCTGAGACTGTAACTTTTTAAGGAAATGGTAAGCTCAGTCATTTCCTGTGGTATCAAAAATATTATTATTTTCCCAAAAGTCTTCCCTTTGAAAATTTCAACCATTCATCCTAAAGAGAATCTTGGGCTGAATAGCAATGGTTTAGTTTAATGGGCATTGTCTGTCTGTCACTTTGTCATACTGTGGTTGGTGGCTTGCTTGCATGTTGCTATGATGCTGAAATCAATGCCACCAGCATTTCAAATGCCGGCAGGGTCAGCTATCGTAAGCAGAGTTTTGTGAAGTTTCCAGACACATCCAGATGAAGAATAAAGTCCTCTCAATCTATTTCCAAAACTTAGCCACTAAAAATCTTATGGATCACAACAGAATATTGCCCAATTCAGTTGCTTAGGATACATCATTTTTGGGGATCAGGCACTATGGGACCATATCGTGCTTAATGAAATAGAGGGAACGTGAGACAATGGAAGCCCCTTGCTGTGATGGATAGTATTTCTGGGTTTTCAGTTCTAATCCATGGGTCTTCATATCTATTGTACCAGTACTTTGCTGTTTGGATTACCATGGTTCTATAGTATGTTTTAAGGTCTGTTAGTACTTTGCTTTTATTTGTAATAGTGCTTTATTTATTCTAGGTTTCTATTCTTTACAAATAAATCTAGCAATTAGTTAGTTTTTCTATTTCTTTGAAAAATTGTGGTGGGATTTGGATCAGAATCACATTGATTTTCCAAAGTAATTTGGCAACATTGACATTTTCACAATATTTATCCTGCCTATCCCAGCACATGGTAACTTGTTCCATTTGTGTAAGCTTGTTTAGGTTTCTTGAAGGAGTATTTTGTAGTTTCTTTGTACAAGTCTTTTCCTTCTGTGGTAAGATTTATTCCTAAATATTTGAACTTTTGTGTCGTTATTATGAATGGCATTTAAAATATATTTTTCAGCAGCAGCATCCTTTATATAAAAGAATATAACTGATTTCTGTAGATCTTATATACTGCTATGCTGCCAATTTTTTCAGATAGTTGAAGCATTTTTTAAATTGAATCTTTGGGAGTTTTCTATGGATAGGATTATGTCATCAACAAATAAAGAAATATTTTTCTGTGCCTGTGTGAACACTTCTAATTTCTTTCTGATGTCTTAAAACTTCCATAATTATATTAGGTAATAGTGGTAATAAAGAGCAACCTTGCTTAGTTCCCATGTAAAGAGGAGATTATTTCAATTTATCGCCATTCAGTGAAATACAGGCTATTGGTTTCACGCATATGGTTTAGAAATTTCCTTTCAATATGTACAAGCTTGCTTGCTGAACACAAGGAGTATTTGAAACACTTGATGAGCAAGGTCTATCATGGCAGCTCCAATGTAGATTACAACTCAATGTAAAGGAAACCATAATAATTCTCACAACTGGACCTGCAGGTAGCATCATGATAAATGGAGAAATTGAAGTTGTTAAGGATTTCATCTTGCTTGGATTAACAATCAATACTCATGGAAAGAGCAGACAGGAGACCAAAGGGTACATTGCATTGGGTAAATCTGCTGCATAAGACCTTTTTCAGTGTTGAAAAGTAAGGTTGTTATTTGAGGACAAATGTTCTCCTGGTCCAAGACATGGTTTCTTCAATCTTTTCATATACATGGAAAAGTTAGACATTGAATAAGGAAGAGTGAAGAAAAAATCAATGCAATTGAAATATGGTGTTGGCAAGGAATTTTCAAAGTGCCATCAACTTCCAAAAGAACAAACAAATTGTGCTGGAGATAGATCCTGAATGCAAGGATGCCAAGACAGGGTCTCATTTATTTTGGACATTTTATCAGTTCAAATGAAAATTCAATCTCATGTGATTCTATTTCAGGCAATTGTATACACTACTAGTATCTAAGACCAGTCCCTGGAAAAGGACATCATGCTTGGTAAAGCATGGGGGCAAAGAAAAAGTGGAAGACCTTCAACAAGGTGGTTGATACAGCGACTACGATGGTGAACCTGAAGATAATAATTGTGCGGAGGGAAAGGACTGGGCACTATTTTGGTTTGTGGTACACGGGACTTCTATGAGTCTGAACTGAGTCAATAGTACTTAACAACAACATCTTCCTATTGAATATACTCATATTATGAATTGGTCTTGCAACATAGATCACAGTAGACTGTGATATTCTTCCAATATCCATGCAGGAATTTTTCACTAGAATTCTTGGAACATTTTTTTTCTTTTTCTGAAAAGGACCACAATTTACTTAATACAGATAACTCTTACTATTCAAATTCAATCCCATGTAATTCTATTTCAGGCAATTGTATATACAATTATCATCTAAAATAAAACTTAGTTTTAACGTAGATCACACTTGCAAATTCTTTCATCTTCCTTTTATTTCTCCTCATTTTACTTAGAATGGTAGGAAGACCCCCCCAAGAGATGGATTGAGGGCAAGGCTATAAAAATGGGCTTACAGCATAACAACTTTGAGGGTTGTTATGGTCTGGCAGGGTTTCGTTTGGTTCTACATAATGTTCTCAGAAGTCACAACTGATCTGATGACCTAGAACCACAACATATTATCTGAGATTAAGACTTTTTTATAGCATAGGGATTTCCTTTATTGGATTTTATGAATTCTTTACTCTCTGGCTCTTAGTAAATTTGCTGTACTATATCCGAGGACTAAGGTGCACCTGATCCATGCCATGGTATTTCCAGCTGCCTCATATCCATGTGAAAGTTGCCCATTGAAAAAGAAAGACAGAAAAACAATCCATGTATTTTAATGATGGGCGTAGCAAAGAACCTTGAAAATACCATGGACTGCCAAAAGAAGAAACAAATCTGTCTTGGAGGAACTAAGCCAGAATGCTCCTGAGAGGAAAGGATGGCAAGACTTCCTCTCCAGTACCTTGGACAGGTCAGGAGAGACCAGCCCCTAGAGACAGACATCATGCTCGGTTAAGTAGCGGACAGAGAAAAAGAAAGACTTTAACAAGATAGATCGACACAGTGGCTGCACTGACGGACTCAGAAGTAAGAACATAGAGTCGCTATGAGTCGGAACCACCTTGATGTCACCAAACAACAGCGTATGTCATTGGAAGCCCCTGTAAAGTTCTGGGTTACTCAATGGGCAGCAGTTTGAACCCACCATCTGCTCCACAGTACAAAGCGGAGGCTTTCTTCTCCCGTAAAGAGTTACAGTCTCAGAAACCGACAGGGGCAGGTCGACCCTGTCCTATAGGGTTGCGGTGAGTTGGAATCAACTTTATGACCATAAGTAAGAGTGATATTTAAGTACTCCAAATTTAATTACATATATATATATTTCCTTGATTTATGTGTCAATGCTTCAGAAACAAGCACATAAAAACAGAAGCCATTTTTAAGATGAAAACTTTCTTTTTGGATTAGTGTCATTTACAGGTTTAACTTTTAATATTCAATATGGAACCAGAGGCTGTGATTTTTTTTTTGTTTGTTTGTACAGAATGACTCCCTTTGGTGATAAACATGGCTTCTTAAATCTAGTTTCATTATTGGAAGTTATCAGGGGAAAATTAAAGAAAAATAAAACCCTTAATTGGAAAGACATAAAAAGTGATATTTGAAAAATATTGTTGCTATATAATTGGCACTACAAGGTATATATATTTCTATTAAAATATATGTGATAAACATTATGTACATACTTGTGTTTACAAGGTGATGATTGTGAATTTTTAAGATCACAGTTTCCAGTTCTATCATGCAGAGAATTAAGTTCTTCAAAACAGGATTGTGGGGCCCCTTCAGCACCTGAAAGGCAAACATCTCAATTAAATCTTCACTCTGGATTCAAAGGAAAAAATTTGCAGTGAACGGCTAACAAAACTTTTATTTCAAAATCAAATTATTATATAGACTGTCCATTAGTTTTTATTTGCAGTTCATGCAATTAGAAAGGATGGTTATTTTAGCTAATATAAAACAAAAAGTCACAATGATTGCAGCATACCATGCTACTATTAAAAACATTTTTGTTATTCTTCTCTGAGAGAGATGGTACTTTCTCACCCCAGAGTTATTAAACCTGACTTCGTCATTTGTTACTATAAAATATTATAAGCATGTCTCTTGCATCAGAACCTTGGGAATCACTATATTTTTCTATATTCTCTTTATCTTCTGATGAGTGCATAGTAGAGACTCGCCTGTCAGATTGTGTAAAAGCTAAGCAGCTGTGTGAAATATTTAAACCTGGGATATTTGGGGTTTGTTAGCATTTCATGAAATAGAAATTAGTACCTGAAAGCAGAGTACTATTGAAAAAGAAAGAAATAAAAAGTCCTAAAATATATGTGGCATTGATAGCAGATCCCGGTATAGCTGATAAAAAAAATGATCATCAGGACCTGAAAGGAAAGTGACATACTCAGCAGTAATGAGTCTCTCTTCCAAAAACTTTGAAGATAAATAAAGATTTGTATGAATCCATTGCCTTAGGAAAACAAAGAAAGAAGAATTCACTGCCCTGGAGTAGATTCCAGCTCATAGGGACCCTATGGGACAGGACAGAACTGCCCCCTGTGGGTTCCTGAGACTAACTCATTATGTGGGTTGTGGCAGTTAGATTTCATGTCACCTTAATACGTTTGAAAATGTAGCAGTGGAATCCAACCTGTCAATGATAGCATTGTTGGGGGTAGCCTTCTTATAAGGAGAAACAGGGACACCTCTCTCTCTTTCTCTCTCTCTCTCTCTCTCTCTCTTTCTATGCCACTTTGCCTTCCTGTTTGCTTTCAGGGATAGCCCACACAGAACCCGAGAGTTGTTTGCACCCTGCCCGCTTTCCTCTGAATGTGGATCCATGTTACTCTTACCCATCAGCCTCAGAGCTTCCTGAAACCTGCATCACCTTTCTGCAGCATCAGCCTGCAAACACATGAGTCTGAAGAGGAGGAATCCAACTTGCATCAGACTTATGAACCTGAGTTTAACTAGGATGGGATGCCTTCTTGATACAATGCTTACACACACACACACACACACACACACACACACACACGTCAATTATTTTGTTACTTTAGACAACAGCGCCTAACACAGGAGTAGAAACCCCCATCTTTCTCCCACAAGGCAGCTGGTGATTTTAACTGCCTTAAGCAAAGAGGTAAGAAAATAAAATGTTCCTTGTTTATTCCTGGTCATGTTTGATCAGGTTGTACAAGCACTTAAGAAACTGATTGGCTAAATTCAAGGTTATATAAAGAAAGAAAACCAACTAATTCAAAAGCAAGGAAACAGACACTGGGGTGGCCCATGGCAGATACTGTCTGATGTAAACTGGCCAAGCCATTATGGCCACTGGGTTATTTTGTGCCTCTTCCTTGGTGTATGTTTGTCAGAGGCCCGGCAGGTGCAATTGTACAGTGATCATATGTAAAGATTATAGTAAAGTCGTGAGAATAAGAGAGATAGGAGAGTGAAATAAAGGAGTCAGACACATTTCATAGCAGCATGCTCATTTCAGTCCCGCTTGGTTGTCCACGTGAGGATGTGGAAGGTGGGAAATGCAGGAATGAGGGAGCGGGGAAGGAGGACAGGGGAGAGAGTGACTGGGGGAGAGGGGTGATGGCCAGAGGAGAGAGGAACCGGACAGGGGAGAGAGCTCTTTATTTCCAACCAAGGCATATATATCTTTGGGGGGAGTGCAAACCCACTAATTACAGGTAAAGGCATATGCCACAGGAAGGGGTTGTACAATAAGTAATACAGTAATGGGAGTGGGACAATCGGTATACACGGAAGGGGAGGGATTGGGGGTACACATGTGACAAGATAGGCGGATCCTAGATTCAGGATGGCAGCCTAACTTTGGATGTCATTGAGCAGGTTTGACCTGTTCTCTGGCTCTTCATGAAAACAATGACTATCCTTATCAGTAGGGTGTGAGCCCCACATACAGGAGACCAGACAGTGGTCTGATGGCTGAATGCCTTCAGGGAGAATATCTCTAAGCATCTGACCTCCCACCATGTGCTGGCCAACAGCCTCTAATGTTTGGCATATCTTTGGGGGATAAGAAGCTGGGGAAGTCTTTTTCTATCCCACATATGCTAACCTTGTGAATTACTGAAAGCACTTCGCATTCCTTTCCCTTTCCCACATGCTCGTGCTGCTCTTAGCGACCATCATGGTCATTGAACTCATAAACCCTCCAAGGTTGATGACTACAATGGCTCCAGGAGGATGTCATCGCTGTGACCCTTTGAGAGCTGATCACCAGGTCTGTCTTCTAAGGTACCTCTGGGATGACTCAAACTTTGGGGCTAATATAATTTTGGTGGTTAGCCAACTTCTTAACTATGCCATCCAAGGGAGCTCCTATGTCCATGCATGAATATATAAGCTGAAAATATATATACTTTAGAAAAAATTAGTATTCTAATCTTTGCACAGTCAGACCACTCACCAACCAGCAGGGCTTATTATTTCTTTTTGCGCTTCTAATTTATACTTCCTTGATCACAAATTAATGACTCCCATAAATCTAACCAAATAACGTAGTGTCTTGAAAAGCACTAAGCTCACGATGAGAACATGTGAACACTTGGTCACTTCGTGTTCCAAAGTTATATTCTCCATCTCTCTCATCCACAGTGGCATGCTCAGAGTTATTTTCTAAGGTGGTATAATTTTCCACTTTAGATGGCATGGCCTTGCTCTAGAACCCCCAAAGACTTGGCATTGTAGTTCTTCCAAAGATGCTTGCCATAAACTCTATTTATCATTTTTGCTCAGCTACTAAACTGCTCATTGATCGATGTGTCATACTGTGGTGGCTTGTGTGTTACTGTGATCATGAAAGCTGGGCCATCAATATTTCAAATATTAACAAGGTCATTAAAGTGAACAGGTTTCAGCCAATCTTCCAGAGTAATAACAGACCATGAATGAAGAATAAACAGACCACTTCAGATAATTCTTAGGTGCCATCAAGTCAGTCCCCACCCATAGCAACCCTCTACACAACAGAATGAGATGCTGTCTAGTCCTACATCAGCCTCACAATTGTTGCTAGGCTGGAGCCCATTGCTGGATCCTCAGTGTCACACTCCATCTAATTGTGGGCTTTCCTCCTTTATGCTGATCTTCTACTTTACCAAGCATAATGCCATTCTTGAGTCTGATCTCACCTGGCGGCATGTCTAAAGTATGTAGGATGAAGTCTCACCATCCTTGCCTCTAAGGAACACTGTGACCTTATTTTTTGCAAGAAACATTTGTTTGTCTTTTTTGCAGTCCCTGGTACGTTCAATATTCTTCTCTAGCACCACAATTTGAATGCATCAATTCTTCTTTTGTCGCCCTTATTCAATGTCCAACTTTCACTTGCACATGAGGCAGTTGAAAATACGATGACTTGGGTCAGACACAACTTAGTGTTCAAAGTAACCACCCTGATTCTCAATACTTTAAAGAGGTCTTGTGCAATGGATTTGCCCAATGAAATATATTGTTCAATCTCTTGACTGCTGCTTTAATGAGCATTGATTATGGATCCAATAAAGACAAAATCCTTGACACCTTCTAACTTTTCTCCATTTGCCATGATGTTACTTATTGGTCCAGTTATGATGATTGTGTTCTTCTTTACAATGAGATGCAATCCTCACTGAAAGCGCAAATCCTTGAGATTCATCAGCAAGTGCTTCAAGTCCTCCTCACTCTCATCAAGCAAATGTGTGTCACCTGAATATCAGAAGTTGTTAAGTTGGAAAATATGGTCTTGATGACAGAAAAAGATGGACACCAGCAACTTGCAATGCCAGCAACTGATTCATAGCTAATGCAGTTTTCCAAAAGTATAAATGGTGACTATATATGTGGACATCTCCCGATGGAATAAACAGAGATAAAATTGGTTACATCTATGGGAAGAGATGGCAGAGCAGCTAAATGTCAGCAGCTAAAAGCAGGCCAGCAACTGACAGTGGCACAGATCATCAATTGCTCCTATGTACGTTTAGGTTGAAGTTGAAGAAAACTCAAACAAGTCCACAAGAACCAAAAGACAACATTGAGTATACCCCATCTAAGATTGTACAACATCTCCAGAACAGATTTGCTTTATTAAACACTAATGGGAGAAGATCTGATGAACTATGTAAGAACAAGAACATCATTCATGGAGAAAGCAAAGGGTTATTTTAACAACAGGAAAAAATGTTCACTGTGGAGTAATTAAGGCAAATGGAAGAAATGATGAAGTCAATAGATGATCAGAGAATTTGAAGGGTAGTTATGTTAGCCCGAGTTAATTGGAGAAACAAATCCAGTAACACTCATATATGTATAAGAGCTTTATTTCAAGAAATAAGTATATAACAAGAAAATATCCCAGTCTAGTCCAACTCAAGTCCAAAGGCCTATAATAGTCCATAAGTCCCTCTTCAGTAGCCACATGCAATGATGCAGAATGTAGGAATATCACAACAAGTGGGTGCAAAGTCATGTGGATACAATGTCATTGGAAGCATCACAGTGCTCCAGCAGCTCTCAGGGTGTCCAGAAAGCAGGAAGGTGGAGGCAGAGGGAGAGGCCAGCCTCCAAAGAGGTATATATCTTGGGTTCACCTTCAAGGGAGGTCATCAGGCTGTGACCTGAGTAACAGACTAAATTGTTCCCATATTTTCTTACAGATGCCATGTTGGTGCAAAAAATCTATCACAGCAGTTCAAGAAGACAAAGTCAACTATTCTAATGAAATGTGCAAAGACCTAGAGTTGGAAACCAAAAGGGGAGAAGAGACTCAG